CCACAGACAATACTGGAAGGGTTTGGTGGGCATTGACCTTGAGTTTGGGAGTTGTAGTTCACCTACATCCAGAGAGCACTGTGGACTCAAACAATTATGGATCTGGACCAAACTTGGACCAATATGCCCAAATATGAACACAGATGGAGTTTGGGGGAAATAGAATCTTGACATTTGAGAGTTGTAGTTACTGGGATTTATAGTTCACCTACAATCAAAGAGCATTCTGAACCCCACGAACGACAGAATCGGGGCAAACTTCCCACACAGAACCCATCATAACAACAGAAAATACTTAAGGCCATCCAATCCAACTCCCTTCATCAGGGCAAGAAAAGGTAATCAAAGTCCTCCTGACAAAGAGCCATCCAGCCATAGATATAGATAGATAGATAGATAGATAGATAGATAGATAGATAGATAGATAGATATTAGGGCTGGGCGGTAACATGTAAAAATTTGTTTCTAAACTCGATTTGTTTTTAGGGGTTTTTTGCGTTTCGTTATTTAAAAGAATTTTCCTTAAAAAAAGTTCGATATTTACGAAATTTCGGAAATAAAAACCAATTACGAAACAATTACGAATCGATTACGAATCGATTCGTTAATGGCGGCCGCGATCGCGCAATACGCTAAAAAAACTTCTGAAGCTTCCCTCTCCCTCTGTTGTTGACTGTTGGTGTGATAATTATATATTTTTTTCACTGAGAAAACAAACAGCAACCCTAAAACTTGCACCAGACATGCGGAAATAATAACGAAACATTTACGAATCAATAACGAATCAATAACGAATCAATTACGAAACAATTACGAAACGAATTGGAAAAAATCATTTTGTTTTTTAATTGCTCCTGAATGGTTCAATATCGCTTCGTTATCAAAAAAAATAACGAATTTTTAACAAATTACGAAATTACGAAACGAAACCGCCCAGCCCTAATAGATATGATTCACGCACACAGAGATATAGTATCCCAGATTTGAAAGGGACCCCTAAAGAAGGACAATTATATGTTGCATGTTCCAGAGTAGGCAAACCAGACAATCTCCACATCAACACTGACAACAACAAGGAATACTGTTTACCCACAAGCATAAAGGAATTACATATATTAGAAACCATTACTTTATTTTCCAGATCACCAGACTGGGCCACAGCAACGCGTGGGAGGGGAACAGCTAGTCAATTATATGATGCTAAGACAAAGTCCAAATATTTCAAAATCATCTAAAGATGAATAATCCAAAAAGTAAGGAAAGTGCAAATCTGAGAGAGGGTAGATGTAGAAATATAGAACTGGGATTGAAGAGTTATTTGAACGCAAGCCCTTGCCTGTCCCACGTATATTTACTGTACTTCTTTCAACATCAACAATCAGCGATGCTCCTTCAACTCCGCTGGACTGGCCACGTTGTCCGAATGTCCGATCACCGTCTCCCAAAGAAACTACTCTACTCCAAACCCAAGAACTGGAAACGTATTATTAGACTTATTATTAGTCTAATAATGAAGAATTATTGGCAGGGTGACATCAATTTCAGTGACACTCATTTAGAAAAATATTTGAAAAAAATGTAAAATGGGCGCCAGGCTACCAATACAAATACAGTTTTAACAATGGGAAGAATATGGCCAAAACAAAGGATTTTTTTTCATTTTCTTATGGTTTGAAAGGAAACTTTTCACATGTTTCTGTGGCCCAGTCTGTGTATATGTGTTTTGTGTGTGTATATATGTGTGTATATATGGTTTTGCACATGCACTGTAATGTATTTTTATGCTTTAGCTTTTAAAGTCTCTTCCGCTGTGTTTTTCAGTGTTTTCTTTATTTATTTACTGTATTTATATACCGCCTTTCTCAGCCCGAAGGGGACTCAAGGCAGTTTTTATGAGTGATGGTCACTCGATGGCCTGATAAGTGTATTGTGTCCAAATTTGGTGTCAATTCATCCAGTGGTTTTTGAGTTATGTTAATCCCACAAATGAACATTACACTTTTATTTATATAGATTGCATTCTTCTTTTTTCTAATCATTTACTATCTTTTTCTGTATTCATTTTCTTTTTGATGTTATACTTTTCATTATAGGAGAACATGATAATAAAATATATAAAATAAAACATCTTTATCTTGTGGGGTTTTGTGTGTGTGTGTATCAGGAGCGACTTGGGAGACTCTAAAATTGCAACAGCACAACAACAGAGAGGAAACAAACAAGGACATCTAATCACTTCTCAACAGAAGTTTGCTCTAGGCACTGTCAGGCCATTATATGCTAATCTAGGTGGTCAGTTGAAACATTCACACCTAGCTCCAGCAGACAAGAGTCCTTTGTCTCACCCTGGTCATTCCACAGATATATAAACCCTTTTTCCTAGTTCCAACAGACCTCACTACCTCTGAGGATGCTTGCCATAGATGCAGGCGAAATGTCAGGACAGAATGCCTCTAGAACATGGCCATATAGCCCGAAAAAACCTACAACAATTCAAACTACAAGTTGCTTCTGCTGTGAGAGAATTGGCATGTCTGCCCAAGGGACACCCTGATGTTTTACCATCCTATAGAAGGCTTCCCTCATGTCTCCACATGAGAAGCTGGAGCTCACAGACAGGAGCTCACCCTACTCCCTGGAATCAAACATTCCATCAGCAGTCCTGCCTGCACAAGGGTTTACACAACTGCATTTACACAACTGGATTGTGTAAAAAACCTAGAGTAATAATTAACTACATTTCTGTTTAATTGTGTCAAGCATGTTTGCCAAAAAATTATTCACTGAGATGAGTTCATATACTCTACCATTTCTGAACCTTAGCACCAACTATTAAAATATAAAATAGCCCATGTCAAAACCGATCTTTGTTTTGGGAAACTTGGAAGGACTTTGATGTCTTTTCAGCTTTCAGCTTTATTTTTCTAAAGAACAATACAGCCCTCTAGTGGGAGAAAATACTAATATACTCCATTAAAAGGCCAGAAGTGAAATATGGGGCTGCTAATGCATGTTATTTTAACCGCTTTCATTCTGCCTTTCTGCACATCAGAGGCAGCTAAAGGAAATAAACATTTTTGAAATTAAAGCCAGTTAAGAAGATATCCTGCATTGTTCCCCACTGAGGCTGCAAATAATAGCATACTCACTACATCATAGAAAATAACTTCCCAACCAGAGATCCTAAGTATTGGATATATTCATGTATACGTCAACCTCGTGTATATATATCAAGCATTGGTTTTGGAGCCAAAATTGTGGATATGACTAGTGGATTATTCTTCAAAGTGAGGGGAAAGCATCAATGCTTCCTGGGGTCAGCTGCCCAGCTGAAGCAGCTCAATGGAGGAAAGAGTAATTTTTCTGAATTTATTCCAAATTACAAAGATTCCGACTGGACCTAACCAAGCCCTGAATGGTTTGGGACCCGCCTACCTGCGTGACCGCATTTCTGTGTCGAACCCACACAACCTCTTCGATCATCTGGACAGGCCCTGCTCGCGCTCCCACCTTCATCGCAGGTGTGATTGGTGGGAACGAGGGATAGGGCCTTTTCGGTGGTGGCCCCTCGACTCTGGAACTCACTTCCCAGGGATATCAGGCATGCCCCAACTTTGGCAGTCTTTAGGAGGAGCCTGAAAACGTGGTTGTTCCAGTGTGCCTTCCCAGAATAAGCAAAGTCTCAGCAATATGTCCTCCAAATGCACTTTATTACTGACTTAGGATTGCCTGCACGCCCCCATCCCTCTCTGAAAACCCTATCCCAGTTATATCTTATCTGTTCATACACAGCATTATTTTAAATTTTAATTATTACATTTGGCCCAGCCATAGGTTTTTAAATGTTCGTTGTGCTATTGTCAATGTTTATTGCTTATTTTTTTTTCATGAGATTTATTTTAACTGTTTTGTATTGTTGTTTTGTTATTGCTTTTATTATTGATGTATTGTGGCCTTGGCCTCATGTAAGCCTCACCGAGTCCCTTGGGGAGATGGTAGCGGGGGGTAAATAAAGTTTTTATTATTATTATTATTATTATTATTATTATTATTATTATTATTATTAATTATAATAATACATAGATAGATAGATAGATAGATAGATAGATAGATAGATAGATAGATAGATAGATAGATAGATAGGAATGGTTAATCAGAATCTTAGAATGTTGAGGCTGGCCAATCAGAGACCTTATGCAAATTGTACCACAGTGGCAGCCAATCTGAACACTGCCACATACACCTCCCATCCTCCCTCCGCATACAAACACTGACTTTTATTATATACATAGATTTCTAGACTTATACATGAGTATAAGTCTTACATTATATTTTATGAAATATCTGGATTTTTTAATCATTCAGAGACGCCCCCCCCCCCTCGTTCCCACCAACCGAGCTTGTGATGGGGGAACTGCTAGTTTGCTGAGGGAATAAAGTGTTGTTATTGGAACCAAGTACTGAATTGTTTTAAAGTAACCATAAGCTTCATCTCATTCTTGCAACCGTTACGCTTGTGTTTGTGAAAACCACACAAATATACAACTTTGTTCTTTGTTAATCAACAACTGTCTCAAAGTGCCTCTGTGTGAAGAAGTTCCATAGCAGATTAGGGAAACAGATTGTCCAGATTGGTGGCAGCGACTATTTAGGAGAATCTCCATGCTATTCACCACGGTGTTCTGAGCCCTGAGTGCAAATTCAGCACATTCCAGCTTACTTAAAACCCTTTTGAATTTGGGTGATAACCAGTTTCCATATTAAATATTCTTCAGAATATCATGTGTTGGTGGCAAAGTCTCTGCAGCCTCCAAATAAGTAATCGAATTTAAATAATAATGCTATTACACCTGTACACACAGTTTTCTATCTGATACATCTTAAGAATAGCTTTGGAAAACTGCTTCAAACATCCACATATATATATTATATTTAATAATATAGATTCATGAACCCAGCTTGAGTATCTTTTATTAATTTTACATGCGGTATTGACCTACCTATTCCTGAATTGGCACCAGTAATTATGGCCACTTTCCCACTCATGTCACGGCCTTGAAGAATTTCCATCGCAGTGGTGTTTCCGTCATACTTCTGCTTGGCATTGGGCTTCATGGGATTATCGTCCACTGTGAATGCTAACCTCGGGTCGAGGTATGTCGTCCTTTTGTTTATATGGCTTGAGAGGAATAAGAAGTTTTCCACATCAGTCTCTTTATTTTAGTAAACATGAAAACACATAAGACCATTTAAAGCATTTTAATTATTTCCTGAGTTATATTCATGCTAACATATAGATCAGGCATGGGCAAACTTTGGCCTTCCAGATATTTTGGACTTCAACTCCCACAATTCCACAACTCCCACAACACCCGGAGGGCCAAAGTTTGCCCATGCCTGATATGGATCTTATTAGACTGACAAACTTAAACCTATGAACATTATAATTGTTTTCTCTCACACTAATTCAAATAGTTCTTACCCTACATACTCATATATAAATCTAGAAATTTTTTGAAAACAAACGCTGGATCATCTTATCTATGCATCAATATGAATATTGGGTTGTTGTAGGTTTTTCCGAGCTATATGGCCATGTTCTGGAGGCAATTTTTCTCCTGACGTTTCGCCTGCATCTATGGCAAGCATCCTCAGAGGTGAGATCTGTTGGAACTGGGAAAAAGGGTTTATATATCTGTGGAATGACCATATGAATATTTGTTGTGACTCAGTCTGAACCTGAGCTTTCTGAGCCTGAGTTTCTTCAGGATGAGGAGGATGATGGGTTACAGGTTTCTGACCATGTCACTGTTGTTGATGCAGACAGTGTTGACACTGAAGACGAGATGGCATCTGTTTCCCAAAGAAAGGAATGTTGTTTAGAAGATGGTCATGATTTGAGTGAAACTTCACAGCTGCAGGTGGAGGAGTCGCCCGCTGCATCTGTTAGCTCAGTGCCTGTTGAATTCCAGGCTGGCCAGTCCCAGGATAATGAGTTTTTCGGCCTTGAAGGTGATGGGGATTTGATTAGGGAAGACCGTTTGCAATTAAGGGTATGCCGAAGTGCTCAGCTTGCTAACAAATGGGAAGTTCGAGGTCAACATAATGCTTTCATGCTAGGGAAACATATTTAACGATCTGATTGAAGTCAACCCTTTGTCAGTGCAACTTTGCTTACACCCTGTTAACTTCTCTGGAATTGCCTCGGCTTTTGGGGAAAGCTTTTGGCTCTTTGGGACTTTGGTTTTGATCTTGGTTTCTGAGGACTTTGTCATGCTGCCATGGATTCTTGTTTGACCAATGCTTGTGGATTATACTTCATCTTATTTGCCTTTGGACTTTGGAAATTCTGCCTTTGCTTTTAAGACTCTGTTTGGACTATTGAACTTTTGCAACCTTATATCTATGTTTATGATTTTGCTTTTTCTTCAATAAACTACAAAACCTACAGCCTTGGTGTGTGGTGGTGTTCTGTGCAAGGTGAATCTATCCTGAGTTGTGACAATATTGTACCTTAATTCTTATAAAAAAGGAAGCATCCCATTATCTTGAAAAGGATCTAAGAGGCTCACTAAACCACAAGGTGAACATGAGTAAACGGTGTGATGCATATTAAAAAATCAATGGGATTTTTAGGCTACATCAATAGAAGCACAGTGGGGGCTGTGACGGTGCAATGGGTTAAACCCTTGTGCTGCTGAACTGCAGACCTGAAGGTTGGTAGTTCGAATCTGCGGGACAGGGTGAGCTCCCACTGTTAGCCCTAGCTCCTGTCAACCTAAACATTCAAAAACATGCAAATGTGATTAGATAAATAGGTGCCGCTTCGGTGGGAAAGGCATAAGATGCTCCAAGCAGTCATGCCAGTCACACAATTAGGTGACAATGACGGCTCCTGAGCTTGGAAATGGAGAACAGCATTTCCCCCAGAGCCAGAAATGAGTACCACCTCCAAAGCCAGAAATGAAAGGAGAAGCCTTTGCCTTTTTTATGTTTGCGTGTCTCATTGTATTGTAACAAGGCACTGAATGTTTGCTGAAAACCAGACATGGATATAAATCATGTACCATTACTGCACAAAATGCATTTTTGGGCCCACAGCTCCAGAAATCCATGGCACATGAAAAACAATTTATTTATTAATTTAGCAATTTTGTATACCGGTCTTCTCCCCTGTATCGGGGGACTTGGGCCGGTTTTCAACAATAAAATCACAAAACAATCATTAAAAACATCATATAACATATTCAATTAAAACGTTATAACAGCAAAATGCAATCACATAATAACAATGGTCAGTCGTCATAGTGAATTCGTTGTCCATCATTCATCGTCATCTATCCGATCACAGAAATATTGATTCACTCGTCGAAAGCCAAACCCCATAGCCAGGTTTTCACCCGTTTTCTGAATGACAGAATGGAGGGGGCAGTTCTGATCTCCAGTGGGAGAGAGTTCCAGAGTCGAGGGGCCACCACCGAGAAGGCCCTGTCCCTCGTCCCCACCAGACGCGCCTGAGAGGCCGGTGGGACCGAGAGCAGGGCCCCTCCAGACGATCTTAACAACCTAGATGGTTCATAGGGGAGAATACGTTCGGACAGGTAAACTGGGCCGGAGTCGTTTAGGGCTTTATAGGTTAACACCAGCACTTTGAATTGTGCTCGGAAGCTAATTGGCAGCCAGTGGAGCTGGCGCAACAGAGGAGTAGTATGCTTCCTGTACCCTGCTCGTGTTAGCATTCTGGCTGCCGCACGTTGGACTAGTTGGAGCTTCCGGGCAGTCTTCATAGGCAACCCCACGTAGAGAGCGTTGCAGTAATCTAAACGGGATGTAACCAAAGCATTACATTTACTTCGACCCAACATTTACTTCGACCCTTTACTGACATGCCTGATGGAGGACATATACAAACAAAAGGGGTGATAATCAAGAAATTGTGTGTTTATCATGCTTGAGGGCAGCTGACTCTTCTAGTTATGAGAAACAGTTCTCACTTACTCAACAAAGTAGACCTGTCCTTTTTCATCTGTTTCCTGCTCCCAACCATATGGCAAATCTGTGGGTGGAAAGAGTGACTTTTTAGTGGCATTTTTAGAGCAGCTTAGGTTTTTCTGGTATAAGAGATATAGCTATGCAACCTCATCTTCAGTTGAAGACGCTGCTGGACAAAGAGAAAAGAAAACTGAAAACACATTAAAAACAAATAGATACATTCAAACTTGACAGTAAAGATAAATAAATGAAAAACCCAAAATTTTGTACATGGGAAACAAGATAATGATTACGATTTTAAGTTACTTGTATATACTCAAGTAGAAGCCAACCCAAGGTACCTAATTTTACCACAAAAAAACTGGGAAAATGTATCAACTCGAGTATAAGCCGAGGATGGGAAATGCAGCAGCTACTTGCAAGTTTCAAAATAAAAATAGATACCAATACAATTACATTAACTGAGGCATCCGTAGGTTAGATATTTTTGAATATTAACATAAAACTGTAAATTAAGATAAGACTGTCTAACTCTGATGAAACCATTATTCTAACCTTCTTCAATGTAAATGTGCTTATGTATCCTTCCAATAATAATAAAGAGAGTAAAATAATATATGTAATAAAAATAATAATAGGGTAAAACAATGTAATAATAACAGTATTAATAAAGAGAGTAAAATAATATATGTAATGATAATAATAAGGTAAAATAATGTAATAATTACAGTAATCGAGTAAAATAATAATAATAATAATAATAATAATAATAATAATAATAACCCACCCACCCACCCACCCCCCAAAAAATCTGGTGTTGCAATCCCAGGTGACAGAATGATTGAAGAGAAAAAATTGGAAATGCTGACACAATATGAGGATTTAAAGATCGAACTGCAAAGACTCTGGCACAAGCCAGTCAAGGTGGTCCCAATGGTGATTGGCACACTGGCTGCAGTGCCTAAAGATACTGGCCTGCACTTAAACACAATCAGCGTTGACAAAATTACCATCTGCAAAAGGCCACCTTACGGGGATCTACACGCATTATTGCCGATACATCACACAGTCCTAGACACTTGGGAAGTGTCCGATGTGTGATTCAATACAACAGCCAGCAGAGTGATCTTGTTTGCTGTGGACTCATCTTGTTGTGTTTCAAATAATAAGAATAACAGAGTAAAACTATAAAATTAATAATAATAGAATAAAATAATATATGTAATAATACTAAACAGAGTAAAATAATAAATGTAATAATAATAACAACACAGTAAAATAATAAATAACTTTGACAGAAGTATAAGTCGATGGGGGGCTTTTTTAGCCTTAAAAAGGGCTGAAAAACTTGGCTTATACTAGAATATATATGGTAAATTGCAAATTTAAGTGGCGCAGTGGGTTAAAGCACTGAGCTGCTGAGCTTGTTGATCGAAAGGTCGCAGGTTCGATTCCGGGGAGCGGCGTGAGCTTCCGCTGTCAGCCCTAGCTTCTGCCAACCTAGCAGTTCGAAAACATGCAAATGTGAGTAGATCAATAGGTACCGCTCGGCGGAAGGTAACGGCGCTCCATGCAGTCATGCCAGCCACATGACCTTGGAGGTGTCTATGGACAACGCTGGCTCTTCGGCTTAGAAATGGAGATGAGCACCACACCCCAGAGTCAGACATGACTGGACTTAATGTCAGGGGACAACCTTTTAAAGTACTCCAGTTTACATGGTGTGAGGGGCAATATCTTGTTTGTTTGTTTGTTTGTTTGTTTGTTTGTTTACGACATTTATATGCCGCCCTTCTCACCCAGAAGGGGACTCAGAGCGGCTTACAAGTAAAAAATAAATGCAATATATTATATTATTATCATAGCACAATATTAAAATTATATATTACATTGTACTATAACATATCTTATGCTTCTCCTATGATGCTGGTATCCAAATCTTATTTTCTGAGCACTTAAGAAGTTTGTAACTCACTAAATCAATAGCTGGTGGAAATATGTTCTTAGTACAGCATTAATTAATCAAAACCTTCTGTTTAGTAGGGGCTTTCACTGCTTTTCCTATATTTAACTTGGACAATCCACGATGTGACAGACTGATAGCATAATACAGCAAAAATCAGATACGAACCTCCAGCAACTCGCTTCCGTTTCCCAGATTTAGGGTGGTCCCACTGAGTTCTCTCTTCCAGATGACTGAAAGACATCAATTAAACAACATCTTGAATAATTTTTCACTGATGCAGCTGAATTTCAGTATTATTATTGTATGTTCAAAGCAGTTTTTGGAGGAACACAATGTACCCCCGCCCCCCCCAAGCATAATTGTCTTCTTTAGGCTTTGCTGTCTCCTCATGATGTGGCCAAAGTACTTCAACTTTGTCTCTAGTATCCTTCCCTCCAGTGAGCAGCCAGGCTTTATTTCCTGGAGGATGGACTGGTTGGATCTTCTCGCAGTCCAAGGCACTCTCAGAACTTTCCGCCAACACCACAGTTCAAAAGCATCTATCTTCCTTCGCTCAATTATGCTGGGGAAAGTGGAAGGTAAAAGGAAGAGGGGCCGACCAAGGGCAAGATGGATGGATTCAGTTCCGAGCACAATTCAAGGTGCTGGTTTTGACCTACAAAACCCTTTATGGTTCCGGTCCAACGTATCTGTCCGAACGTATCTCCCTCTACGTCCCATCCTAGAATTTGAGATCGTCCGGGGAGGCCCTGCTCTCGACCCCACCGCTATCACAAGTGAGGCTGGTGGGAACGAGAAGCAGGGCTTTCTCGGTGGTGGCCCCCCCACCTGTGGAACTCACTCCCGGGGGAAATTAGAGCATCAACATCCCTCCTTGCCTTCAGGAGGAAGGTAAAGACGTGGCTATGGGACCAGGCCTTTGGGCATCCTGACAATTAGATATGGAAACCAAATGGATAGGACCAACAAGGTATGGAAATTGGAACTTAAACTATGAGATTGTGAAATGCTGACCAGCAATGAGGTTTGTATTGCTTTTATAGTTTTTACCTGGTTTTACTGGTTTTATGGTTGTTTTGCCGATAATAATTCTGTTTCTGTTAATTGTAGGCTTGGGCGGTTTCGTTCGTTAATTTCGTAATTTGTTATTAATTCGTATTTAAATTAGCTTACGATCCAATATTGAGCCATGCAGGAATAGTGTGAGGAGTAAATTAGATTCGAAACAATTTTTTCAATTTACTTCGTAATTATTTCGTAATTATTTCGTAATTATTTTCGCATGTCTGGTGCAAGTTTAATAGTTATTGTTTGTTTTATCACACCAACAGTCAACAACAGAGGGAGAGGGAAGCTTCAGAAGTTCCCCCTGTCCCATTTGGAGGTTTTTTTAGCATATTGCGCAATTGCGTCCGCCATTAACGAATCGATTCGTAATTATACGAAATTTCGTATATTTCGAAATTTTTAAAAGGAAAATATTGGAATTATTAAAAAAAACGAAACGCGAGGGCTCCCTAAAAACAAAACGAGTTTAGAACCAAATTTTTCCGTGGTTACCCAAGCCTAGTTAATTGCTGTTTATTGCTATATCTGCTGTCGTTAACTGATGTTGTTGTTCTTTGCTGTATGTAATGCGGGCATCGAATTGTGCCTCGCTTGTGTAAGCCGCCCTGAGTCCCCCTCCTCCCCGGGATGAGAAGGGCGGGGTAGAAGCAACCGAAATAAATAATAATAATAATAATGGCATCCTTGAAGTGACTGGACTGACCTCGAAGGAGCTGGGGGTGGTGACGGCCAACAGGGAGCTCTGGCGTGGGCTGGTCCATGAGGTCACGAAGAGTCGGAGACGACTGAACGAATGAACAACAATGTACCCCCCCCCCATAACAATGTCTCTGTGTCATCAATAAGTAAGGCAGTAGGGGTGAGTGGAAATTCATATCAACCAACCCGAGAAAGATTAAATTTAGGGTGTTATCCCATGCATCCCCGTTTTTAAACAGCTGTAATCCATTTCTGAAACAAAGTACAACAGAGCCCATCACACAATGCAAGGAAATTTCCTGACTCTGCTTATGATGCTTAGTTAAAGAAATGTGTTGAAAGTGTTAAGAAATTGGAGTGGGGGGGGCTTTCCTATAGATGGTCTCCTACAAAGCAGCAATGCCACATTAATCTCCAAAAAATCTAACCACTGATCCTTGCACAGTACATGTACGATTGCAAGGTAATGTAGGAGAAAGCGTATAGTTACCCTTTCAGGCCCTTCCTGATTATCCCTATCTGTTCCAATGTTCTTAAGCTAAAGGTAAAGGTAGTCCCTGACATTAAGTCCAGTCATGTCTGACTCTGGGGTGTGGTGCTCATCTCCATTTCTAAGCCGAAGAGCCAGCGTTGTCCGTAGACACCTCCAAGGTCATGTGGCCGGCATGACTGCATGGAGCGCCGTTACCTTCCCGCCGGAGCAGTACCTATTGATCTACTCACATTTGCATGTTTTCGAACTGCTAGGTTGGCAGAAGCTAGGGCTGACAGCGGAAGCTCACGCCGCTCCCTGGAATCGAACCTGCGACCTTTCGATCAACAAGCTCAGCAGCTCAGTGCTTTAACCCACTGCGCCACCGGGGGCACCAATGTTCTTATATAATGTAAAAATAGAACTATATGTTTGTAATTAATAAAACTTATTGGAAAAAAGGAAGGAAAGCAGAAAAGTCCATGGGGAGAAATGGGATCTACCCTAAGAACACAGCCTCCAGGGCCATTGGGAGGGAAAGAAGAGCCCATGGAGAGAAATTGGGTCTGCCTTAACTGCAAACACTCCTGTGATAGATCTGAAACACTAAAGTCAACATTGGCACTGAAATACAATTCCGTCTGAACTCTGCAAGTGCAGCATTTTTTCCAAATGAAGCAGAGAGTGTTTGAGGATTGGGACATCCATAGGGATACCAAGCTGCTTCTTTATAAAGCTATTGTCCTCCCATTCATGTTAGAAACGTGGACTGTCTACAGATGTCACACGTAACTCCTGGAATAATTTCATCAGCATTGCTTCTGAAAAATCCTGCAAGTCTCTTGGGAAGACAGGCGGACAAATGTCAGTGTGCTGGAAAAAACAAAGACCACCAGCATTGAAGTGATAGTCCTACGCCATCAACTTCGCTGGACCGGCCACGCTATCCAAAAGCCCGATCACTGTCTCCCAAAACAGTTAATCTATGTCAAACTCAAAAACGAGAAATTGAATGTTGGGAGACAGGAAAAAAGATTTAAAGATGGGCTTAAAGCCAACCTTAAAAATTGTGACAGAAAGAAACAGGAACGTATTACCATCTTTTTTGGAGTTGCAAGGAGATTCAGAAGTTCTGGTTATTGGTTCACAAACACACACAAAACGTAATTAAAACAAAATTTGAAATGAAACCAGAGTATTATTTGTTGAACATAACGAATCTTGATTTAAAGAATAAAGAGGGGAAAAATTTCTTTTACCTATCAGCAGCTGCAAGAATATTAATTGCACAAAAATGGAAAATTAAAGATATCCCTTCCAATGAGGAATGGATTAAAAAAATAGTAGAATTTATGGACTTGGACATAAAGAATCCTATTAAAGGATCAGAGTAAGGAAAAACAAATGAACTGGAACCAATTAAATGAATATCTAAGAGAGAAAAACAAGTTAAATATATAATATCAGATATTAGGAGTTAATTGAATATAGAATGAATGACAGACCATAAGAAGAGGTATAAAACCCAAGGACGTTTCTTCTGTGGACTGAACGGAAAGTCATTTGTGGTTTTTGGGTGCTTTTTTTTCCTTTTTTTCTCATCACCTTCATTTTTTTCACTGAAGGGTAGATTGCCCATGCT